AATTTAAGAAAAATGGATTACCCCCTCCAATCTGCCCCCCTCTCCCTGCTATACTTACATTTGGACGAACACTAATCCCCATACTGCTGGACTTGGAATTTTGCTTGACCAATTCGTTTGGTGTGCTGGTGACATTCTGCTTCCTCCGCGCTGACCAAAAAGCGATTCTCATTGGTCAGTGCGGTCAGAAGTGCTTCTCATTGGTCAGCGGGGTCAGAAGTGCTTCTCATTGGTCAGCGCGGTCAGAAGTGCTTCTCATTGGACAGCGTGGTCAGAAGTGCTTCTCATTGGGTCCTCGCCATTTGCAAGCAAAATTCAAAATCCAGAGCGCAGACCTGCACTACATGACAGTATGGGGTATGAATAGTACACCAGCACCGGTGAAGGGGAAGGAGTGTTACCCAATGGTAAGTACATTGGAGGGGAGGGTGGTTAGTGAGGGGGTCAGATTGGAGGGGGTAATTCTTTTTTCCCAAATTCACCTGGGAAAGTGAAATGACCCTTTAAGATCAAAGCTGGAGGTGAGCAAATCCTTCACGCTTGTCCAAAGGTGCTAAAGGTGTTGATGAGTTTCCATCTGAAAAATTTCATATGCAGATTAACAAAATTTACATTTATAACTTAGTACTATGGGCGATAGTACTTCCGATGTTACTGGGATTAAGTAGATGAACCAGGAAAAGGACCTTCTTAAAAGTATTGGTTGCACCATTTGGTCAAATGAAAGCCTCTTTCTCCTAAGAGGTCAGGACGTATGCAGGGTACTAGAATTCAACTTCTGCAGCTGGATACCCCATTCCCAAATCTTCCTGGGTTCCAAACACTGCCCTCTGTGGCTTATAGGGAGATCTGATTATACAGAACAGAGATGTAAGGAGATCAGATTATACAGAACAGAGATGTAGGGAGATCAGATTATACAGAACAGAGATGTAAGGAGATCAGATTATACAGAACAGAGATGTAAGGAGATCAGATTATACAGAACAGAGATGTAGGGAGATCAGATTATACAGAAGCCATTGATTAATGCAGAAAGTCTGGCATTTCAGGAATCATACCCTTCATTGGCTACCTTAAAGCAGACACTCAACATTAATACATAACATTATTCTCAGCACAGTGGCGTAGTGGTTAGCGCTTCTGCAGTACAGCACTAGGGGTCCCCGGTTTGAATCCCGGCCAGGTCACTATCTGCAAGGAGTTTGCATGTTCTCCCTTTTTGCATGTGCTGGCGTGGGATTCCTCTGGGTACTCCGGTTTCCTCCCACACTCCAAAGACATGCTGGAAGGTAAATTGGCTCCTGTCTAAATCAGCCCTTAAAGCGCTGTGTAAATTGTTGGCACTATATAAATACCTGTAATAATAATAATAATAATAAAAAGTTCTAACCCTCTTACATTCCCTCTTACATTTGCAAGATTTTTTTGGGTTAGGAAGTAAGTACCTTTTTCTGCAGGTATTCCTCATTCCTTGTCTTGGCAAGGATGACGTAGCCCTCGGCTTCCGGGCACCATAGCTTTTGAAGATGGGGAAGAATAGTGGCCGGACAGGTAATTGTGTCTCTTCTTTACATGCCACAGATTTACATACAGAGTTTTTCCTCATTTTCTATTTTAGCGACACAGTGTACCTTTAAAGTGACACTAAACTCAGGAGTTAAATCTTAAAAATGCATTCAAGTATCATTGAGATTGAGATTGTAATCCATGACGGGAGTGACCTTGGAGTGGTGACTACTTTACAACACACACAGGGACCATGAGCAATAGACATGTGCATTCGATTTCGGACCAACCTGCAAATCAACAAAAATCAGTTGATTCGGCGGTTCGTCCGAATCCAAAATATCGAATCTAATATATGCCCGAATATACTAAAACGATATTCGGGCATACATAAATTTGTTTTCAGAACATGCTGGCGGCCATATTGGCTGCTAGCGTGTTCTGCACATGCCCGTCACCATCTTGGAGACGGAGTTTGTGACGTCATATGCCGGTGACGTCACACGCTGAACGAGTGGTGGCCATATCGGCCACTGGCATGCACGCCACCATTTTGGAGTAGATCTTGGTATACACCAAGATGGCGGCGCTCAAACATGTGGGCGCCACCATCCTGGTGTATAACAAGATCTACTTCAAAATAGCGGCCTGCATGCGCAGAACGCGCCGACAGCCTATGTAGCCGCCCCTCGTTCTGCGTTGAGAGTGTGCAGTTTTCGGATTCGGAGGCTCATTGCCTCTGAATCCAAAACAACATAAGAATTTGTTTCCGTTGACGAAACAAATGAAAAAGTTTTTCGTTTTCATATGTTTCCTTTGAAAATGTATGTTTTTGTTGTGCACATATCTAATGGGTAACAAAAGTAGCCACCCTCCAGAAGGAAGGACAGTGTCAGCACCAATTCAGAGATGATTTGAGGATCTACAGCCGAGAGATACACAAATAAGATACATTTTAGTTCATAGTTAAAGGAGAACTATGAGGTGAGTGCTTTTCACTCACCTCATAGTTCTAGGCGACCTGTGACAATGAGACTGTCACAGGTCGGCTCAGTAGATCGGGAGGTGAGCGAACACATACCGGCGTTCACTCACCTCTCGATCCTGTCACGGCTCTCTGCCATGACAGGGGAGGGGCTGGATTCCCCCCTCCCCGCTCCAATTCTGCCAGCGGTGGCTGGCAGAACAAACGGGGGAGGGGGCGGGTACAGCTGGCTCTGCCTCTAGATAGGCAGAGCCAGCTGTCAGTCACGCAGCTGGGCAGATCCAGACATAATTGTCGGGATCCGCTTCAGCTGCGGCGTCTCAGTATACCGCGAGCTACAGCTCGAGTTATACTGAGCCTAGGGTGACGGGAGGACGCTAGTTTGTGTCCTCCCGTTACCCTAAGGAGAACTATGGGGAAAAGCCTTAACCCCATAGTTCTCCTTTAACATACTTGAAAGGTTTAACTCCTGAGTTTAGTGTCACTTTGAGTATGAGTGACTGTAAAGGGATACAGAGCTCCCTCTAGTGTCTAATCTACAAATCTCCACATTTAATGCCGTAACAAAAATATGGATGTGTATGCATAATGTATAAATGTGAAAGACAAAATATTACCGCGACGTTGAGCAATGCAATAAAATTATGTACTCACTGAATACAGACTTTTAAGAAGTTCCCCAATCCAGACCAGCTTTGGGAACCCAATAGCAGGGCCCCTTTAATATACCACAAATCTGAGCAGTTTCAAAATCCTCCAAGATCTAAAAAAACTACAAATCACAGCTCCCAGACGGCAGCTGATGGCGATATTTTCAGGGGAGCCGGGTACTGAGATGCACACAGTTGTCACGTATAAGCTGAACATGCAGGTGTGAAGGGGGAGAGGAATTTGAGTTACTATAGTAAAACCTAATTAATGGGCTGAGCTCATGTGGAATGTGTTCTGACATGTCTGAGGAATGACATGCTGAGGTTGGTTTGGTTACTGTACGTAGTATTTGTAATGCCTGGAGGCATCATAAATGAAAAGAGATGTCCAAAGTGTTCAATTTATACTCTGCAGCTGATAAATCTTATGGGAAATAAGGCAGAGGAAGTGAAAATATGTGACTGGAGAATGAGGATACATCTGTAAAGGGAGGATATAGTGTATCTATCAAGTGAGCACAAATCTTGCATTATTATACTGCAGTTCAGATACCCAAGGCTATATTTGGGCAAAGCTTTAAAATGTACCAACTGTAATTAATGTGTATGTGTACGTATGTGTACGTCTAACGTAGGGCCTATAGACCTGCGTTAGATGTGATGGCTACCCCGGCATGCTGGGCAAATGCTGTTCGCCTGGTATTTCCATCACTGGATGAAGCTGAAGAGCATTTCATATACTCCTCAGCTCCATCTAGTGGTGTGAATGCCATTCTGGCAGCATATAATTGGGTGGAAGATTTATATTTAGTGAATAAGGTTAAACTGTGTTTACTGTAGTCATCCGATCATGTAAGCACAAGTAATTCTCTGCTAAAATGATTCATTTCTCCCTCTATGGGAATGCTGTGCTAGTGAAAATCTACTGACATCTACTCCTTAAAATGCTATGGGCCTGGCTGTCTTGTTCCAGTCGACACTTTTTGGGACACTGACCTAGAATAAGGAATGGGGGAATCAGGCTGTTATTCCTAGCCTGTATATCAATGGGACCTCTGTCCTTCCTATGATGTCATGGTTTGCTGCTCTCTCCATAGGTCAACCACCAGGGCTGGTGGATGGAGATGGAGAAGAAGGCTTAGCTGTCGGGTTTGAAACAGCTGATTGAACTAATTATGAATGTACCCTTATGTTTCGATGAATAGACGATTTCAATTCTTCTGTCAGGTCTCTAGACAAAGCAAAATGGCCCATTCCCCGGCAGTAGATGAGATAACATACATACCTAAAAAGCTGCTCGTGTCTCATATCTTCCCCCCATTCCAGCACTGCAGCCTCCATCATTGTCTTTAGCATTCAACACTTCCAGGCGTGTCAGCGTGTTGGTGTCCCCTGCTGGATGACATGGTTCTTTTCCCCAACCTTACGTCTCTGCTGAGGTTGGTAGTGTTGTAGGGGGTCGGCAGCAGGAACCACAGTGCACGGTGGAGGAACACAAGATTTTGACATTCACCAAAGTGGGCATATGTAGAAGAGACTGACAGAGGCTGTAGTGTTGTATAGGAGGTAAGGTAAGAGACCAAGTCACGTATGCAATGTAAAAATTGCAGGTAAAAGCACAGAACAATCAAGTATTTTAAATGCTTACACGTAGTGTTTTTTCTTTCCATAAATAATCTTTTGTTCACTTACATTACAATGTGTCTTTGGACCGGATACAAAATTTGGCTTCTTCATTAAGTGTCAGTTCTGTAGCACAGCCCCATCCCTCCTGGCAGGTTATAGCTCTCTTCTCTTCTGGGAGGGTCTAATTTCTCCCTGTGCTGGCCCAGCTCCTTTACCCCTCTCCTATATACTAATACTATAGAGTGTCCCAGACTCAGAGTAACAGCTCTGAATCTGCTGGGGTTGCTGACATCACATCCAACATGGCGGCGCCCAGCTACAGTCGGCAGGGCTTTTGGATGTCTACACGAGGGAGGCTTTTATGGGTAGATAACATGAATACATTTTAAGTGCACCTATAAACTTATAGGACGATTTTTGTTTAACTGAAGGGTGTGGTGACAGGGTCTCTTTAAAGCCCTGCAGCACTGGGGGGCAGCCCCCCAGTTCAAATCCTGGTCAGGACACCATCTGCAAGGAGTTTTCTCCCTATGCTTGCTTGGGTTTCCTCTAAGTACTCCGGTTTCCTCCCGCACTCCAAAGACATACTGGAAAGTTAATTGGCTCCTGTCTAAACTGGAGAAAAAAAGGGGGGATACCCAGAGTCCAAACCCAAGATTTAATTAACCCCAGTATGGGATAAATGCAAAAGGTATGATCGCCCATAGGCTTTCAAACGATCCTCTACTGTGGACAACTATAAGACAGGAGGTGAAATGATCTAAAGGAGATCAAATCGAAAGGCAGTGCAATGAGGATCGGAATGCCTGGTACGGTACAAACGTATAAAGTTTTATTCAATGCATTAAAAATAGAGTCACCAAAGCACCCTTTTACATTTTTTAAAAGGGTGCTCTGGTGGTGGCCAGTAGGTGTGCTTTTTGGTGACTGAATTTTTAATGCATTGAATAAAACTTTATACTTTTGTACCGTACCAGGCATTCCGATCCTCATTGCACTGCCTTTTGATTTGATCTCCTTTAGATCATTTCATCTCCTGTCCTGTCTAAACTGGCCTTGTATGCATGCATGTAAAATAGGGACCTTAGATTGTAAGCTCCTTGAGGGCAGGGACTGATGTCAATGTGCAGTGCTGCACAAATTGTCTGCGCTATATAAATACCTGTAATAGATAAATCAAGTATACTACCTCCCGTATTAACTACCTCCCGGCCAGCCGCTGTGTATACACGGCCTGCCGGGAGCTTCTTGGATGTAACTGGACGTGTATACACGTCGGCGCGCGCGCGCGGGAAATCCCCGTTATTTGAAAAGAGGCAGCGATGCCTGTTAATATACAAGCGATCCGCCGGCTATAGAGCCGGCGGATCGCTTGTATGAAGCCCCGAGACGTGCGCCCCCCCCCTCC